TATATGCCATATATACAAACGTATACTCGTAGAAAATTATTCTTCCACTATCAATGCATGAACGCTCGATACTACTATCGATGCACGTACCTATATTTCCATACTCTTTATAACTTGTATTCGCATTAAATAACACAAATATGAACATTGTATACTATGACATAACGTGACACCTGAGGTATTCGTTACGCTATAAAAACCTACCCGCCGGGACGTCCATTTTGCCATCATCACTTTTCGTAAAGGTACCCATACCACTTGTTCTATACGGAAAGCCTCTAGTCTATACGTGTAAAGTACAAACAAAGTTCTGAATCGCTATGCTCTTCAGACCTTGTTGTAGGCTAAAATGTCATCGCAAAACACTTTATCTATGTCTGTGATTCGAGATACGTATGGCGTTGCGCCTGGTAGAAACTACTTGACAGTGAATGCGGATTGCAGTGGATAGAGCTGGTTGAAGTTGATAGGCAGAGCAGCGGTAATGAGCACCAAAAGTGCTTAAAAGTACGCCCTATTTCATTGGTCAGTTGAACTAAAATTAAATGCCAAATATTTACTCCATGATTTGAAACGCTCTTTAGTCTTCTATTTTGTTTGTGTTAGTTTATTAAATCAAAAAAATCAAAAATAAACATATTTAATACATATTTGTAAATACACGATGTACAGCTGAGAGTTTTTTTTTTGAAGTTGCACAGCTATTAAAAAAGATGACTTCTGAAATAACACGGTATTCATCTGTTCCCAGCTGCAGAATACGCATGGCAATGCCTCGCACTGCTGAAGAGCTTAAGATTTTGTATCGAGTGACTATAGCTCTCAATAGTGCTAGCTTTGCCATTGCCATTGCGCATATACATTCTCAGGACGGATACAGCAATTCCTTGTTTTTAGGGTGAAATGCAGCAAATTACATAATCTTAACGAGCAGCTTTCTATGGCATACGTTTGTAATAAATCAGTATGCTTCTTTGAATATACTCTCAGTATGACACTTCCAAAGCCAAAATCTCTTCAGAACATGGAACGTTGTGACCTCCTCCTCTAGTATTTTAAATACATGCTGTAGGTCAATCTCACTAACCTACTAGTCGCTTTGTGAAAAAAAACATAGCCGTATTCACGTCTCCGGATAGTAAATAACTAGCCAGTGGTTATATCACTGTGTGTAGATATACTATTGCCTACCAGAGTTGCTATTTCGAAAGGAGTATTATACATGGCCCTTTTGCTTACCATACAGTGATACAACCATATGAAATTGAAACGAAAGTACCACTAATCGTAGTTGCATAGGGTAAGTAGCCCGCCGAATTTTCTCTCGAGATTGTTTGCTGATTATATATTTAGCTCTAGCTACGGGTGTAGATACTGGACACGCTGATAATTTCCAATGTCTAAACTGCCTCAATATTTATCGTTTGGCAAGTATGTTTCACTACCGCTGACCACTACACCATTTTCATACCTGTCTGTACGCTATTGAACTAGGTATTTGTCCTGACATTTATATTACCCATGGAGTGGGTGAATATTGCTAGTCTGCTTTATTCTAAACCTAAAATAAACCGAGGACGATAGTATGCGGCAAGTATCGTGCCGAACCGTGTTTAGAAGGGTGCACACATCAGCTCTGCGTGACAGTACAACAAATACTGAACGATCTAACCATACGCTATAGGCAAACTATTCTTTTGCTGCGGTATGAATAAAAATGGACTGAACAAGCGCATGTTATCTCACAAATGATTGCGACCGTCCATCGATCACTACGTTCGTAGTGTCCGGTGCCTATGAAAGGACCTATATAGAGCTGACCCTCAAACAAGGTTAGGACAGGCTGCTATGCATCGGTCAGCACTCCCCATTCAATGAACACCGCGGACATTCCCTGTAGGAAGTTGTAATGAAGAGATGAGTTCACCCGTTTCCCACTGAAGGGCTTCCAGCTTCTATCCGTCCGACCATATCAATTATATCCACGTGCTTTAGCTCAGTGACATCAGACGTCAAAATTAGACATCATCGAATCCTGTCTTCGTATTCCTGAGGCCGCAGCTACACTACTCCCCCCCTGGAGTTTGACAGACAGCCACTGCACCGACGCTCAAACATAAACAGAAAACGTCTGCGCACGATTGTAGATTGATACGATACACATATGCATATGCATGATGGCTTATGCTACACACCCTATCCCACAGGTGTCCCCAGACTCGGTAGACACATTACGCCCCATTAAGGCAGTCATACTCGTGTGGCTGGTAGGTATGACAGCCGTTTCGGTGCATGTGCTGTCGTGCAAGCGCTAAAGTAGCGCTGCATTGATAGCGAACTGATGCGGCCAACAGACGGCCAGTCTGTGGCACCTCCTCATAACACCGCTGCTACACACACAGATAGCAGACAACCGAAAGCCTCCAACATGCATCAGATAGTGTGAACAATCAACTGTCTACAATATACGCGCTCTACCTTCCTTGCCACTGACGGATAGAGTCCCCCTTAGTCAGAGTGCGTGCGTCGTCGTTCTAACTATCACTAAATGTGTGTGTGTGTGATGTTCGTTGTGTGTGTGAGAGAGCGAATCGTTGTGTGCCTCCACCCTTACAATGCGACCAACTGCGCTACGTCTACGTACGTCTTTGATACGCTCGCACTTGTCTATCAACTGACCTGCCAGCCGCTGCGAACTCATAGCCACACAATAAGGGGTAGACCAGACCAGACCATTCGAAGTAGATCACTGACCCTTATTAGTGCTCAGACAGTCCACAATACTCCAGGATGCCATTGTCACTTCTCAGTGCTTGGGCCGTGAGTGACTCTGTCGGCATGTCAGGGCGGGTGACGGTGTACGAGGGGGGTTCAAACTAGTCTCTGCAAACATGCGACACGCTCGGTTGGCATCTATTCCATTGGTGGGAAGCACTTAATAAGCGTCCCCGTTTCGTACCCTGGGCTATACTTATAACCGCTGTTGACAACTGATAGGACGTGTCTCCATCGCGTTAGGCTGTTCCCCAGGACGTCACATGGAGAACCCACCCAACTGCCACTTGCGCCTTTGGGTGGTTTTGTCGATGGAGCGTGTCATATTGTCGATCCGATTCTGTTTGAGAAATGCGACGCAAGTCAGATAAGTGAGATAAACAAGGCTTTGTTAAATTCTTGGAGTATAGAGTAAGTGTGAGGTACTTTATGGGCTCTACTTAACACGCACATGGAATGTACAGCGATATATGTTCGTGCACTCGTGAATTGACAGAGCTACAGAGGTCTAAAGTGACCTGTCACAGAGCGAAGGCTAGTGCTGATCAATCGGTTGGATACAAATAGTTCAAGAACAACGAAGCATGCGACACAGGGACACTGGGCCTACACAATCCATTCGAGACCTCGACAACGTCTGGCCGTGTGATAGAAATAAAAGACACTATCTTCATAAAACAGAAGAAAGATCCTCGATGGATATGAAGGACATTCTCAACAGCACAATACACTCCTGCACAAATGTACCTGGACTCCACTCATCCTGTGTACGACCGTGTTGAGTCTCTGTTTGAAGGACTCTAACTTTTTCAACTGTTGCTCACAGTCAGACGGTAGAGTGTAGTTCTTCATAAACTTCTCAATCTCTGACAGACAATAATAATTGAATGGTTCAAAATAGATCTGAGGTTAGGGGGAAATCAGATACTCTGGCTACAAGTTGGTAAAATTGTCGAACAGCATCCAGCTAAAATGTGAAGCGACAATTCAACTCTAGAATATATATATATTAAAAATACATATTTACATATGCTTGCAAACATACATACATGCATAAATACATACACAGGTATAGACACAGACATACACAGACATACACAGACATACAAACACACACACACACACACACATATATATATATATATATATACATATATATATTGAACAATCTCACCAGCTAATACTACGGCACGAAAATCAACATACATAGGATCATTCAACCCAATCAACCAGAAAACGCGTCATGTGTGTCTACATACCAGAACATACACATCTGTAAAAGAAAGTGGACACACCTATTTCCAGACGATCGATATCCGATCCCACCTGCAGTTGGCTCTGTGTGACCTGACCTGACGCCTCCTCCAGCGCCGCCGCAAGTGGTAGCAGGGCCGACTTAAGCCCGGCTGAGATTGATGCGTAAAACAATAATAGCAGGTGTCAGTGTCACATGATATGAAGTGTGTGGTGTGGGACAGAGATACAATAAGTATTGCGTCAACTGAAAGGTGACAGAACATCTTTCGAATGAATGAAGTGCGCAAAACGACATGTCGCATATGTTGTGCTATCGAGACGAACATACAATATGAAATACACTAATGCATGTATATAGCAATACACACACACATGTATGTATTTCAGCCCAGTTGGATAATACAATAATTCTTGTACAGGGTATATATACAATGGACAATACATTTTGAATATACAACAGTAAGACATTCAGCCACCTATGTGTGAACAGTAGTATGAAATGACATATTTTTATAGAAACATATATCTATGTGTATGAAGACGCAAACCAGAGATATACAAGAACATGTTGTCACACATATACAACCATATATATATATGTATACAAACACACACACACACACACACACACGCGCACACACACACATACATATATATACATACATACATACATGCATACATACATATATATATATATACTCAAACACATACATACATATATACATACATACACACACACACACACA